TGATGAATTAAGTTTCATTTTTTGTTATTATTTAAGGATTGATTCGAACTGCTCAACCCTTATGACTGAATGTCTTATGAGATGTTTTTAATCTTGTTCTAGAATGTCTTCTTGATCAGCATGGTTTCTGGTAATAGCTATTTTTTTTGCATCTTTATACATTAGAACTATTATAAATGAGATATTATGTTTCTTTTTACCACAATATATGAACTTTTTTATATTTACGGTGTATTTATCAAATTAATATTGTTTAAAATGAGTTTGGTTTCTCGTAAAGTCATTGAACTCAAGAAAATTTAAGATTTCATATATATCAAGGTTTAATTAGAAAATTCTTTTTTCAAATATATGATCATATGTAATGATGACTCTTTCTAAAACAAAACGAGACAATAGAAGTTAAAAAGAAACTGTTGAGCATCATTCAACTACTGTTGAATTCATATTTAAACTATACTAGCAGAAATCAATGATGACAAGAACTCAGGGAAATTAAAAACTTCAATTTTTGAATACATATCAGTTTACAATACTATTTAAAGTTACTTCATTTATTAAGTCATTCAATCAATTATATCAGTTCTAGTGAAATTATGAGTCATAGAAGTATGCAGCATTACTAGATCTTTATTAATGAATTATTAATATTAAATTAAATGAAAAAAACAGAATTTTCTGATATCAAATATTAAGTTGAACTTCTTATCAAGACAAGAATTTCCAATTACCAACATTAATATCTAAATTGTGGTGAATGAATGATTGTCATTAAGCTTTTGTTAGTCGAATTACAACACGTGATTTTGTGTCTTACTTTAAGATTAAATCCTGATGAATGTGTTAGAAGACAAATTACGTGTAAAAGCTAAAAGAAACTCACCTTCTGACTAGTAAATATTTCCATGACTTTACAAAAGAATAATATCGAATAGAAAATGTTTGATTAGATTTTGTCTATGATAACGGAATTAAGTTCTAGGTTGATCAAATTATTGACAATTGCCAAAAGCTCTCTCTAATACCGATGCAATCATTGTGATCATCAGATATTGCCTGAAACGGTATAATATTACTGCAATAGTTTACATTATTTTACTTTAATGCATTAGCCTATCTTATGGATCATCTCTATGTCAATAAAGTCAGCATCGTTTCAGATCTTTTCTTGTTTCGAATTCGTTTGTTTTACTTGTGTTTATTTTCAATCAGGTTGTATTACATGCTGAACTTCGTTTTCTATTGAATGATGTCAATTTCGATAGGGGCCATTGGACCATAAATAATAGTTTTACCTGAAACACTGGGTGTTTGACCTGCTCTGGAAGTAAGCCTCAATAGTATTTATCTGACAGCTTGTATTGTATCTCTTCGTTGTTTTGCTACAGAATGGCATTAATTAACACATGAGTAGTCGCACAAAAACTGTGGTTATGTGATACTTTTACGGTCCGCACAAGTGCATGCTTATGCCACGAATGCAACAATTTTTTGTATCTGACGATTTATTAAAACTTGATTGAATGTTGCAGTTCAATGTGTCTGTAAGATATGGATGTCTTGTAAGACAGTTTTGGACGTCAGAGAAATCGCTTGCTCGTATACTCCAGTTGAATTAGTCCCACTTGATAATGATGAGAACAGCATTATGATACACCTCAAATTCGTGATATGAGACTTATCGCATCTGACTTTCAAATTTGGTAGGAGCTTTCTGCATATTTTAGATGGACGTAACGCTTCTGTATACAATCAGTTTCGTAAAGGTTTTCGTGCAGCTGAACATTTGAATTGTAGTGAAATTTTCAGAACAAAATGAAAATATAGTGCGATTATTAGAGACATGTTTTTTGTATATGTGAATCATAGTCAATAGTTTTAGTAGAGTAAAGGAGTAAAAATATATTATACAGAAAATATTAGTACATAGTCAGGGTAGAAAAAAGTATTCATGTGAAGCGATGGTTTGGAAGAAAATAAACATAATTAAATTATCAAGTTGTACCACAAAAATAAAGCAGTGTAGTTTACATGAGTTTGTAGAAAAAGCGATATAGAAAACTAAACAGTTTGCATGCAAATCAGTAACGATGAGTAGTATAGAATGTACCCAATAAGAAGAAGAACAGTTTAGATGCGTATTAAAGAATGATTGAAAGTGATAGGCACACAGGAAACCAAAAAAAGCATCACATCTTCACGCGAAATATCTCTTAAATTTGCAAGGTGGCTTGTTCAAGAGTGATGGAATCACGGTTTTTTTCCCAGTGTGCATCCTGTATTTCAGCCAAATGAGAAGGTTGCCGTTACGTGAATAGGCTGAAAATATAAAGAGCAACAACAATTTCTAGCAGCAGATCATACCAAAAATATCTCTGGAATTTTTTTTATTATTGAAACAAATATAAATACCTTTGTTTATCTTTATAATTGTGGTGAATTTACATTTTGTATTCTTAAAATACGCAGGAAGATTATATCAAACTTATAGGTTTTAAATAAAAATATTAATTATAATACAATTCGTACTCAATACAAACAGTATTCCTCTTCACATGAATGACTCGGCAATAGCCGTCAAAAGTATTATAGTCTAGATCAGTACGAAGCTCATTAGCACAAAGACTTGCACTACAAGAAGTCACAGAATTATTCGCGAAGGGTTCAATATAAATTGAGAATTATTTGTTCACTTTGCTAAATAGATTTCGAGACTGTTGATAACATGAGATTCAGTTATTGAAAAACAAGAAAACGAATAAGAAACTGTTATACAAGCAGCGTTGATAAACGTTTCAAGATATTGGATATGTAGAAAATACATGATGATATAATAAAAATTTGAAACATCCAAAATATCATTACAAAAAACCAGCTTCCTCGAAGACTTTGACGACACAAACTGTTAAGTAATTAATACAATTTCTTGGCTTACCTTATGAATTAACAAGACGGACAAAGTTACTCATGTTCTGCTATTATCATTACAAACTTTTGCTTTAATTATCTTTTGTTTTCGTGAGCTATTATTTCATGAACTCACACATTTTGAGGCATGAAGATACTTTTAGTCGAATTCTAAACTTTATTTCAGTCAAGTTCTATATAGTACACTTTAGTGTGTTCAATAAATTTACTCTAATATTATATCGACTATTGAACGTTGATGTGTACATTCGAACTTGATAAAGAATTTTTGCGTTGGCTTCACAAAACCAACCTCCAGTTTAGCTTATACAATTTTGAACCTTGTATTCTCCGCTATTACTTTTCACTTTGAACAGCTGATATGGCACAAGCCAATATATCCTAACCGTATAGTCCAATTATTGCTTTCCATATATCAAAAGATTTGACGCAGAATAGTGAAAATATCGAAATTACTGCTTTTGAAAAGATTACGAGACCTATCACTATTAGGTTTAGAGGCATGATACAAAGCAAACAAACCGTTGCCAACAGAACAAATGTGAATGTGGCTCTTCTCTTTGCTAGCCTACAGCCACATTCACACCCATCTTAGTATCATAATGCCATTCCGTAAAAGTTGTACGAAACAATCCAAATATCCTATGTTGTCTACAAAAAGTGTCGGGAAAAATATAAAGAACATTCAATACCAATATTGAAGATTAACATAAAAATTGGACATTACAATAAAACTGTTCAAATCTTATTTCGAAAACAAGTAGACAAGCAAAACGAAGTATTTTACAAGTAAATTTTTCAATCAATAATTATGATTCTCATTTTGCACATTAGCTTTTGTTATAAAAAAAAACACAAAATGAACTCATTTCTTTAAAAAAACTAACCAAGGAGCCAACTTATTAGAAACTAACTTTTCTTAGATGTGTCCAATACATGTCATAAGAACTTGAAATTGTAAAACATCCACTCTTTGCATTATAAACTACGTATTTTAATGAAGAACAAACTAATAGTAAGTACCAACGGTATGCTGATAACAAGGATGCTCAAAAAAAAGTTTCTGTTAGTGATTTGTATTTATACAAAAAACACAAATTATTATAATATTATTGAATTGTTTGTTTTTTTTTCCTACAAAATACGCTTTGTTTTCATACTATGCACTATGTTACTCTCAATCTCAAATATTTCTATGTTCACTATACTCTAGTTATCACAGCAGTACAGACAATAATGTCTGTACGAAACAGAACAGCAACAACAACTGTTGTATACAACGGTAGAAGCAACATTAGTAATATTAAGAAATCTTATTCATCAATAGCAATCACAACAAAAATTACACAATTGTTTTACTAGTCGTCTCATTAAGAATGTACAACAACAATCATTACGTCATGGTATATTAGTTAAAAAAATTATTCGATAAGATTGAGCGATAATGTTATGATACGAGAACTGTATATGATTGCTGCTTTTTCCATCATCCATTTATTTCTGTCACTCTCCTTCTGTTTATTCTTTTCTGCTTTCTTCCTCTCTTTTTGCTTTGATGATGTGCGTGTGTTGCTATACATGATCAGATATAGTTTTGAAAATAGAAGAAAAAATTGTGTTTTCCTCTTATCGAACTCATTTGATCTATATGGCCTAAAGAATAAAGTAACAGATATAAGTTTTGTATGTGTGATATATTCTGGTATAGTCCATATTTCATCAAAAATGCCAGTGTATGACAACCACCGCTTCCACTGGTTTTACTATTTTTATACTATATTTTCTATTCATATTTCTATACAACTCGTATTTTCTCTCTTGAAACCGTCGATTTTTCTTTAAATAAAAGACAGTTATTAAATATTATTGGTGAAAAACTTGAAAAATATTAATGATAAAATTTTCTTTTTTTTTCTATAATAAATAAAAATATGTATGTTAAAGAAACTTTTCATTGATATATAACGATATCTTAGCATATCGCACACACAAACAAAAAAGAAAAGGAAATTAATACTGATCTGAACTAGAATTAACATACTAGATATACACATACTGCTCATGTCAAACTTTTAGAAAGGACATTCATGTATAGGTTGTAAATAATGTATAACTGTTTGAGATTTCTCTAGTTTTAGGGGTTCATCAATAAATGACGATGTTCGTTTTGTTGTTTGATCTGGTATTGAACTTAAATAGAATGCTGTCATTAATTTGGTTGTTTTTTGAGATTTTGATGGTGTTGGTGTTGATGAAATTTGTCGATCATCATTAGAAGAAACACAGACAACATAATTATTCGCAGTAATCGATAAATGATCGTATTCAGTATAAGAAAGATCTGCTGGATTATTGGTATTATTAGTTGTTTTTAAACATTTTTCAACCCATTGATCAACTTGCTCATTAATTGATTGTCGTTCATCTTTAATTTCATCTTCCGCATCATCATCATCATTTCCATCTTCTAAATTAATAACTTCTTCAGGATATGCATTTGGTGAAAGAAGATATTCATCATCTTCATCGTCATCATCATCATCACCATTATTCAAATCTAAATTTTTAATTAATCTAATTTCATTTTCAATTTCTTCAATATGTTTTAATATAGCACGTGAATTTGTTTTTGTTAATGTTGGAGAAAATAAAATCGGTGGTGGTGATGGTAATTTGATCTTTGTTTCATCTAATGGAAGTATGAATGGATTCTTTCGTGGTGATATCGATGCTGATGATATTAGCTTAGCTGAAGGTTGTTTATCTTTTCTTTGTTTATATGAACGTTCATTTTCAAGTATTTCTTCAAATTCAAGTGAAAAACGATCATCAATGGAACGAGATGATGAACTACATGAATGATGTTCATGATTCATTCGATCAATAGGCAATTTGACAGAATTAGTTTTCGTAGTGTTTGATGGACGTTGGTAACGATATTGACTAGCGAATGTTGATGAAATTTGAGGAACTGAAATGTTAAAATAGATAAATATTTTTAAATAATTTTTTCTTTATTAATTTACCTTTTGTTCTTCGTGTTAAACTACCACTATCCGACGTAATTGCCTGTGGACAAAAATATTGTTCTGTATTCGTATTATGTATTGAACTTCTTTGTATTACTAATGGTGATGATGTTGTTGAGATCTTTTTTAGTTTTTTTTGATGATAATGTTGTTTACCATTTAATAAAACACTGTTACCACCTGTATTATTTGCTGATGATGAATTGGATGGAAGTGGTGAAGAAGAAGACGAAGAAGTAGATGACGATGATGATGATTCAATAACTCTTGAACTCGATAGAGAGAATCCATGTCCACTATCACTTTGGTGTAGGATAACACTAGATGTTGGTGCTGGTGCTGGTGGTGGCGGTGGAGGTGATGGTGAATTTGTTAGATTAATATTTCCATTTGATGTTGTTTGTGGAAATGATTCTGAATGTATTAAACCGGCAGGTGGTGTACGAAATGTTGAATCATAAATACCATATTCAGGTTGTACTAAGGGTGGTACTAGTGATGATGTTTGATGATGAAATACATTTGATGGTTCAATAAAAGTTGATGATCGATTATTTATTGAAGTATTTCCAATCCAAGGATTGGTTCGAATTTTTGAACGTTGTTTTTTAGATAAACTTGTGGTTGTTGTTGTCCATAAAGAACTATTACTCGATGAAATAATACTTGGATTTGGTGTTGAATATTGTGATGAAATGGGTTGTGTTGGATGATGTGGTGTTTGTTGCTGCTGTTGTTTATGATGATGATGATAATGATGATGATGTTGATGTTGACACTCACGACGTGGACTACATGTTGCTAATGTACTCGAATAATTACGATTTGAAAATGATGCTTGCTGTTCTAATGATAATTTAGGTGGAAGTGGAGGTGGTAATGGAGGTGGAATTGCAGGCGATGGTTGATGTGAGGTTCGGCATTGAGAACATGAAGACAATGTATTATCATGTGATGATCGTGTTCCAACAATTGTATTGACTAATTCAGCATGACGAGCTAGTAATACTTGAGTACGACTATGTTGATCATCAGTAACAATACTATTAATATCTTCATATCCACAAATATCATAATGACAATCGGCTGATGCTGTTAATTCTTGATTATTTTTTGTTTGAATTGGTTTAGGATGTGATTTAGAAGATGATGTTGTACTTTTACGTTTGGTTACAAGAGAAGTTAAATAATCTTTAAATTTCATCTGTGTAAAAAATCAAATCTAAAATAAACTAAAATATACATATTAGTTTATATGTATTAGAGAAACATACATTTTACTATAAAAAAAAAAAGTACACAAATGTTGAATCATAATTATATCGTACAGAATTCGGTAATCTCTTTTTTTTCTGCGTTCTTATTATACTCATTACTCACTCTTGCCCCGTTCCATGTACGGTTCATTTAATCTTCCTTCATCTGCTGCAATTGAGAAAGAAAGTGGTGTATGCCATTTCTATATAAGATGATAAAAGAGAGACAGAATGGTTATTTTATTTTGTAATCATATCCTTCTTTCTTCTTCTTCTTCATCATGTTCTCATCCCAATTCGTCCCCTTGTGCTTGTATAAACATAGTGTGCATTTGCCTAGAGCTCTCATTTTTACGAGCGACAGATGTGTAACTTGCGTGAACTAAAGGCACGGTTGGGTTACTCCTACGTATGGAAGCGAAGTTATTATTCCACCAGTCAATATTCATCATCATTGAGACAGTACAAGGTTCCTACTCCTTTTACATGCGAATTTCTTCTTATTATTACATACAAGTGGAGTATTGAACTTGCTCATGTATACACTGACAATTAAATAAGAATACTACTGCTCCCTTAGGGTATAGTATTTCTACTGTCTTTTATCAATATGTTGTTCGCTGACCGAGAGATTGATATAGACAGACAAGCAGACACACATAGTAGCCACTAACGGACTCGATTAAATGTTCAATATACAGAATACATTATATTCTCAATAGACACAAATAATGAATTATGCGACTCACTATATTAGATTAAGATATGCAATCTTATATCAGATTTCTCATATAAAAATGTTGTAGATTGCCGAAAAGAACCTTTTGAAAATATGATTAATGAATATATATTGTCGAAGGTGATACGGTATGCTTTTCATTTGTCTGATCTTAACATATAATTGAAGCAAGGAAGACTTTAAGAAATAAGAAAAATTCTCTCTCCTCATGATCCGGAAACATCTTTTTCTTTTTTATTCTTTCTCAAGGGACGAAAATGTCCTTGGCATGAGCCGAAGAAGACGGCGACACCAAAAAGAAGAAGAACAACGGCAAATACACTTCTCGCTTAATTGAAAAGATTCGATAGAGCGAGAAAGGGGGGGGAAGGAGGGAGAGAACGAGGGAGAAGACCAATGGATGCATGCAATAATCATGTCGAAAACAGCAAAACAACTTAAAAAAAAGACGCTTAGCGAGAGGAAGTTTTGATTGACTGTAACTGAATAAATACATAACAACGTCAAGAACGAATAAAGCATCCATGCAAGCAGGTGACAATCAAAATAGTTGCAATTTGTTTTTGTCACATGTTACAATTTGTGCAAACGGTAATATACGAAATCAGACAAGAGAGAGTGAGGGGCAAATAACAAGCGTCATGTATGATGAGACGTGTCATTGTTGATTTAAATCAAACTTAACAAGGTATATTTGTTGTTGTCATTAAATTACAACTAAAACAGGTTAGTCGAATAACAAGAAGAAGACGAAGCAGAAAAAGGAAAGGAAAGGAACATTATTTCAATAAGATAAAATTTCTTTTCTCAAAGTGTCATGTATATCCTACCGGAATAACCTCACCTGTGTAATAAGGTAATTAAAATGGCGAGAAAAATATACATACATACACATCGAAATACATAACTTGATCTATTCTTTCTTTCATTCTTCTTATAACTGAACAACAATCTATTGATTATAGTGCATGATAGATCATAATATGTACAAGCTGGAAATCATAACTAGATCGCTTATGTTTATACAACTTTTTATAAATGGTAAGAAATAGAAGAGTTTGTTAGATGTATATGTAGTTAGTTGTATGAGAACGGATGTTTTATGTTTGTTTTACGTGCTCTATACCATACGTAATATAATCTGTCATATGTGTTCAATGAAAAAGACAAAGAATATAGAATGATGGGTATAGTACTATTTCTAGAGATGTGAGTATTTTGTAAGCATAAATCAGCTTATCGCGTTTACTCGGGCGAGATAATGCCAGAAACAGAGAGAGAGCATTAGTAACAGTCGATTAACTCACTTTCTTCTTGGTCTTTACGAGATGCTTTTAACAATACATCTTTTACATGCATCAATATACCATGTCGAAGCAAAGTGGGGTTGCAACGAGCGTTTTTTTTCTTTGATTACATACCCACAAAAAAATCTTTGCTTCGTCTGCTTTTTTTCCTCTTTTCTTCACGTAGAGTATACGATGAGAATGAGTCACCTATTTTGTGGCATTAGATATTCTCTTTTTTTTTTCTCTTCTTTCTTCGTTTCTTTTACAGATCGTTCAGTGATTTCTTTTTTTGCTTCTTCTCAATCCTTCGTCTCGTTTATATGTTATGGTATGGTAGCATTTCCTCTTTGTTCTTCTATAGTTCTTTATTGCCATGATGCGGCGTCAGTCGAACCAAGGCAGAAACAATTTGTTGTCGTGCGTCATAGAAAGGACATTAATATGTGTGGAATGAATAAACGAATGAATGAATGAATGAATGAATGAATGGAAGAAGTATTGGACACATGGGGACTATTTCAAAAGAGATTCTTTATTCTTGTTAGTTTTGATGAGAGATTGACAACAAATATATATATATGAAAATATGAAGAACAAAAGAGAACACATTGACTAGAATTCATATTTTTAAATAAAATATTTCAAAATAACATTCATATTTAATAAGGATTCTAAGTAATGAATCATTAATCATAAAAACATCCCGTTATTATTGATGAAAATTAAGTGACATGTGACCATCAATAGCACTCAACATAGGAACTATTCAATTCACAGTAGTTATCATAAGTATATAAAAGAAAAGAAAAGAAAATGAGCACGAGATTCAATTTCCGTTATAAAGCCAGATGTTCGATCTGGACGTTCTGTCTTAACAGCTTATGTTAACAGCGACCCTGCTGTCTCGATTAGCTGAGTGATGATTGTACATGTTAACTGTTGATGAGGTCTGCCACATATCAAGGTGTGTAAACTCTAAGGTCAAATATATATATATTTATATCTAACCAGATATACTTTATACAAGGTTATCTTTCCACCATTATGCCGCCTTTCGCGTATATATTATATCATATTAGTCTTTCCACTCTGTTCATATATCTAATGGACGGAAATAACTATTGTTCACTATTAGCAGGTGTGCTGTTCAATTTCCTTAGAGAAATTTGGTCATAAGAAAAAGAGAATAAGGTCATTCATACATATTAAGGTCATCTCAAATAAACTTTTGATTTGCCTATGTACATATGTATATGTATTTTGTATATATGATTGAAGATGACAAGAGTTTACAGACGCGGTCAATATTAAATATAAATTCTATTTTGAAAATGGCAGCGAAAAAAATAGCAATCACATATAATGATATGCAAAGCAAATTCAACCATAGTCTGTCTTCTATTTTTATTTTGAGTGAAAACATAGCATGCTTATACTTTTTATTGTCACATCAATGGCATTGAAGATAATAAGAATGAAAAAAAAAGAGAATAAGAAATATAGCTAATCAGCCAAATGCACAAATCAAGTGAGCAGAAGATATGTTTTTAACGAAACAAATACCGATTTGATGAACTGGAAGAAAAAAGGACAGTACCATTTGGTGTAATATCCAAAAAAAAAGTATATTTATCGATTGATATAGCAAATGACATACGGTTAACCTTCGTTACGACAAGACAAATGGTATTGACAATGAAACAAAGTGATGATAACAAGGTTTTCCTTCTGTCACAATATCTAACTAAATTTAGTGATCGATTCATATAACAATGATTATTAAGGAGGGTAACGATCAATAAAAAAAAAAAAAAGATTGAAATATTTCAAAAACATCTGTTTTTTTTATCCTCATACATTTTATATAATCATAGAATAATATAGTTTTAACCTAAAAGATAATATCAATAGTCAATTGTTGGGAAGTTGTAAGATTAAAAAAGCAAATATCATTTAATTCTTTACTATGTTTCTTATCTGAAGATCTAGTTTATCGACATTCTTGACATTCGGTTCAAGAACACTTAGGCATATAATTCACTATGTCCTTGTCAAATACTTGACAAGTAATTTTCTTGAAATGAGCATATATTCGATAAATACAGTGATAGAGAGTCAATTACTGTTTGCTTCTTTTTTTTCTAGATGAATCAGACTTGATAATAATAATAAAAAAAAGAAATCATCAGTTTCAATTAAAGAAACTGTCATATATAAATATATATTTGAAATTCATAATTAAGAAAAAAGGTCTTCACAATTCAATTGATTAATGAATTCTACTATAACGTAGTATATTTGCTTATCATAACATTAAAATAGATTACTGATCGTCAGAATTGATTTTGAGAGAAACTCTTTGTTCAATAAACTTATCTATTTAATCAGTTAAAGTAAATTGTTTGATTTTGAGTAATTTAGAAAAATGTCAGAGTTTAGATCATTATTCAAACAGAAATACATCATATGTTTACTTTAGATTCATTACACATTTTATGTGAAATATATATACACCTGACATTGTAAGAGCTTAAAAAAGAAAAATGTTACATGTTAATCCATATCTCATGTCGTGGAAATCGTGAATATGATATAAGAAATGATTTTTTTTTTTGAGAATCGATGATAAAGTGAATTTAAGCATCATTGATTTCAGTAACTAATTACAAGTCGTCAATTAATTCGAGAAATATTTCAAGTCTGGAAAATTAAGAATCAAATATTATCATTGGGATATGAAACTCAAAGAAAAAATTTAGTATCAACCTGTATATCACTACAATGACGTTAACCAGATTGAACAATGCTAGAAAATAATCGAAATTGAATTTTGTATTTATATTCATTTATAGATGAAAAGATATTTTTGATTTATGTAGATAATTTTAGATGTGTTCTTCCATCCTACATTAATACAAATTTGAAAAAACGTGTCTTTATTCTTTATAAGATGACTTGTTCTATTGTTATCCTTTTGATCTTGCTTCTTAATTATGACTTTATTTTACTTTTTCTGTACTAGATATTTAATTTATGAAGTAAAAACCATTTTATTACATGTTTTATACAGTAAACTGTTAATTTTCGAATAGAAACATTCATAATCATAAATGAATAAGCAAAACTTGTCAATATAACAGTAGAAATCGAGGTTGAAGGAATAAAAAATTACTTCTATCATCGATATAATAAAGGATAATAATCGGTCATAAAACTACGATTTATTATAATTATTATCAGAATCATCAAAAAAAAAAACATCATCGATTTATCGTGTTTCAGTTTACTATTATCATTTCGATATATCACGATTAATTGCCAGTTTTTTCAGTGATTTCGAGGACATGAGATATCCTTGAACACAATTATAATCAATAAATTTTTTATCAGACATGTAGTTGAAGTTTATTATAATATATCTTTTGAAGATCAGTCAATTACTTGAATAATTATTTGATATTTGGAGTTTGGTGATCATATCAAACAAAATTTTCTTCGTATGAGTAAGTTTAAATGTAAAACTTTGAAAAAAAACAAAATTTCCTGATTTTCATGAAATAATTCATTATTGACTAGGATACAATCGATGACATAAATCATTCAATTTCATAAAGAGAACGCAAGTAATATACATACCAGGAATGATTATGTTAATTTTTTTGTTTTTTGAAATATATCAAACTCTGTCATAATAAAATTTAAGATGATCTTATGTAAAACTCATTGATAAATTATGATAAAATATAAATTAGTTCTTTTTTCATTTAATTAGATAATATTTTCAATTGTCATGTAGATCATAAACTTGAAGTATTAACTGACTACTAGAAGATTAAAAAAAAAGTGTCAACCTTCAATTATAAGTTTATAAGAAATGAGTGACATCTGAATATTAACAAATGATAAATAAGTATAACCAATCGTATATTTCTTTCTGTTGTTAACTTTTGCTCGATATGATCCATGAATTTTCGGGTTTTCTTATGAAAATTATACGATCGATATATTGGTTCATTAGATCAATTTTTCAATCTGAAACAGTCAAAATGGCATCACGAAATATGATGAGTCAAAATGAAAATTCATTAATAGAAACAAAAAAAACTTCGAAATCCTCAAAAAATCATGTAAATTTTTATTTTAATATTCTTATTGAAAAAAAAAAATTCTTTTTTTGCCTATTTCTCAAATAGACTTATGATCTTGATTGGATCAAAAATACAAATGCTAGATCATTTTTAACTGATGAACGACATTTATTAAAAAGACCTATTACAGATCAAGGATGTCAAAAACGTTTAAGTAAATATAATGGAATTGTTAATCGTATGACATCTGAACAAATTGATGAAGAATTAAAACAACGACAATTATCAACAAGGTTATAAAAAAAAGAAGAGATTTTATTTTTCTTTTAGACTTTGATAATTTAAATTATTTATTTATTTGTGATAGCTAGTGGTGAGATTAAAATTCGTCGTATCCGTTTAAAACATCATTATAAAGCTCAATTAACATTTGGATGTGAAAATCCTCTAAAAATGATTCAACAACATTTTGAATATATTGCTGTTGTGGATTTTGAAGCAACATGTAATAATAATCAAGGAAATAATTATCAACATGAAATTATTGAATTTCCTATTGTTCTTATCAATGTACAACAACAAATGATTGTAATTATTTAATAAAAATACACTAATTATATATATATATATATATATTGATATATGTTTTATTTTAGGTTGATAAATTTCATTCATATTGTCGACCAACAATAAAACCTATTTTGTCAAATTTTTGTACAGAATTAACTGGTATTGAACAAGTATGTATATGTTTACAATCTAATATATTGTAGAAAGAAAACAGTAGTTAGCTATAAGAGAAAAATACAAATGAAAAACGAATACAATTATAATTTGTGTTTCATATGTTATCTTTCTATTTTCTTTTCTCAGAGTTTTGATTATAATAGTTATAGGATTTAACATACACTTGGGAAATACTTAAGAATAGTTTGTGGCAGAAGATAAGAAGATTTTTTTTTTTGAGATTATTGTTTTCTATGAGGAAAAAGATTAAGTACTCCAACTTCATATTTGATAATCTTTTTAGAAATTTCATATTTTTCCAAAATCCACAAATTTTTATGTATATTTTTGTGTGGAATATAGCAATAAAGAAAGCATTGGTTGTTTGTTGGAAATCAGATTCCAAAGAGTGTTCAATTTAAAGAAAATTTTACTGTATTAAAATTAGGTCTTTTCTAAAAGTAAATTTTTTTTTCGAAGAAATCTATGTCTTTTTTATATTTGAAAAGTATTAGTGAATAAAACAATCGGTGGAAGCAAATTACGATTCATCTTTTCATGCATTTCAACCTTTAAAAATCAACAATTTTCAAAGTAACCTTTAAGAGATCTCTGTTACTTAACTTTCAAATTTAGATAAATATCAGTTCATTGTAATTTGAGATGAGAGTGTATGCAGTTGAGACTATTGCATGAACGTAAAAAAAAAAAAGATGAAGCTTTCTTATCATTATCTATACTTCAGACAGCATTAGCATATATTCCATTAAAGATATGTTTTTCTTCCTCTTCTCTACTTGTATTAACTAGTTCCCTTAGGTTATTCATTAGTATCACATTTGTTTGAAAACAAAAATGAAAATGTCAAGGTTGATGAAATCAGAAACCGATAATTACTGAATATCAAGTTAAATTATTCTCTTGCAAACTTATACGTAGTGTGCACTATGAGACGTTTTACTATATGTTAAAATATACTCATTTAACAAGATTTTCTCGATATTTATACGAGTATTAACATGTTCGATGGTTGATTATTATTTTGTCATGTAGAAGAATCAAGCAGCTAACAATCAAATGATGTGAAAATCAAGATAAATTTTCGATGCCTCTTTATATCTGTTTTTTTTTTGTTTTTCTAAAATAATTTTCTTAGATCATAGTAAATACTTCTAATTTTTATTATCCAATTATTTATGAAGTTTTTCAGATTCAATTCAGTCAGATTTACGAGAAAACATCTTAATGTATGACTCATCAATCGAATTGAGGGCAACAATATCAGAGATGAAAAAAATATTCAGTGAAACCGTAATAACTTTGAAAGAACAGAGCATAAGAGACAAATCTTTATAGGCTTCCACTAATCTCATCGAGGCATACTTATAGAAACAATATCAATTAGATTGATGATTTATACTTAGGAATCTTTCCTTGTGAAATGAAGCATTACTTTAGAAAGTTTTCCACACTTGCAATATTGACGAAATAAACTTCGAATAATTAGAAAATTTAAATAGTAAACTTTAAAATTTTTCTTTCAGCATCAAGTAGATAATGCTCCTACATTTCCTGAAGTTCTACGTAATGTTGAAACTTGGTTAAATGAAAGAAATCTTTTATCATCAAATAAACGTAAATGTGCATTTGCTACAGATGGGTATGAAAAAAAAACATGAACTATTCTAATTCATATATATATATATATCTTCCATTGTTTGTGTCTTTAGTCCATGGGATTTTGCAAAATTTCTTCGACTTCAATGTCGTTTTAATTCTATACCATATCCACGATGGGCTAAAAAATGGATTAATATTCGAAAAGAATTTGCTAATTTTTATTCTCTACAACGATGTGGTATGAAAATAACTGTAAACCTTTTTTTTTTTATTCATTCATGTTTTAATTAGGTATTGGAAAAATGTTAGAAAGTCTTGGTCTAATATTTGATGGTCGTCGTCATTCAGGTCTTGATGATTCAATAAATATAGCTCGAATTGCGCTAGAATTAATTAAGGTTTGATTTTATTTTTTCATAATATTAATTTATATTTTAATAAAATTTAACTAGGATGGTTGTGTTTTATTATTGAATGATGGTATTCGTGCATCGGATCCTAAATTTATTGATTTAAATATTAGTAATAGTGAAATACAAGATCTTGATGAAAAAGAAAAAGAAGAAGAAGAAGAAGAAGAAGAAGAAGACGAACCAAAACTAAATGATAGTTTAGTTGTTTTGGATGAATAAACTTTTCTTATCTTTATTAAACATTTTTCTTTTCTCTAATAAAATTTATAAAATACAAAACTAAAGTCTTTATTTTTTTAAAATAGTTTATTTGCTTCATATATAAATTTAGATTAAATAATGGAACAACCAGATGAATGTTTTGATCCACTTCAATTTGCTGTTGATCTTGATTTATCTGAGACAAAAAATTTAAATATAGATGAAAAAGTTTATATATCAAAAAGTCTTATTAATCAAGCAAATGGTTCATCATATATTGAATTATCATCAACAAAAGTAACATGTGCTATATATGGTCCACGTGAAACATCATCAATATCAGATGAATCATATTCAAAATGTTTACTTGAAACATCAATTAAATTTTCACCATTTGCACGTCAACATCGTATTGATCCACTTTTAATACAATATGATAATGATGAAGATTGTGAAGAATCAGAATTATGTTCACGTCTTGAAGAAGCATTATTACCTTGTATACTTCTTCATAAATATCCTAAATCACAAATTGATATTATTATTGATGTTATTGAAGATGATGGACAACATTTACTTTCAGCTATTATATTATCAGCAACTGTTGCATTAATTGATGCTTGTATTGAATTATATGATACTGTTGTTGCTAAATCATTAAAAACAAATAATTCATTATTTACATTATGTTATATGCCAAATTTAGCACAAGTATCATGTTTATTTTTTGATGGTGAAGCAACACCAAATGATCTTGATCAATTAACTGATGAAGCTGTTAAACAATGTCAATTATTACATAAAGCTATTTGTAAAGTGGTTATAAGTGATCTTAAATCAGCTGTTGCTTTGAATCGAAAAATTGTTTAAAATAAAACATTTTTCACATATTTTAATTGATGATGATCATATAATAGTGAATAAAACAAAACAAAAAACATCCTAGATTGTAATTATGCTTATCAAGAAATGATAAGAGAATTTGATTGTTTTTTTTGTTAAATTTGAAATGAATTGATTTCTGTAGTAAATTCGTACATATTCACTACTTTATCATTTATTCATTGTTCAATTGAATCTAAAAAAATAAGTTATTTTTGTTTGCAACTAATATTGAATACTTCCTTTAAATCAAACTTTTTTTTTTAAATCGTTTTATTTTATTAATTTGAAGAATTAACTGTCCGGAAAAAAAACATCTTTATAATAGATACAAAAAGTTATTGAAAATATTATTCGATGAATAGATATTATTATTCATATATGTACTTGTTAATGAATAAAATTCAAGTATCAGAGTTTTTTGATATAACTTGATTCTTCAAAATTTCAACATTTGCTAAACTTCATCATTAGTTGTAACTTTTTATTCAGTTAATGAACGAGAAACTTTTTCATCGCCAGTCAATCAATATATAAAATCTTCTGAACAGATAAAAGGAGAAAACAACATTTCAAGTCGTAAAATATTGAAAATTATTGAGGTTTTATAATCACAGATGATCAAAGAAATACTTGATACTTACTATGAGTTACTGATGTCATTATTGCAATGAAAAACAGCACCAATTTTAACATTATTCAATACAAGTTGTCTAAATAGCAATAGAAAATAATAAGAAATATTAAAAGACTCATCAATAGCTATTTGTACTATTCTTGATTTCGTGTTTTACTTTGTTCTTCTTTTTGAGTTTTCAAATTCCTAGTACATTCACAATAACATGACATATATTCTTCATACTTGAAGTTTTTTGGAATACTCAAACTTTTATTTCGATCATAAGCATGAAAACATATAGTTAATTGATCATAACAAACCTAAGAATAAGTTAGTTGCTTCAAATGTTTTCAAATATTTATTCATTCTGCTAAAAGTAAAACAATATGATTAACAATACATTAGACAGAGTTTGTCGAATTCATATCTACTTCCATAATAATTGATCAATCGAGTACTTAATCATCTACGTAATTTTTTCTAGCACAACATAAATTCAAAATGTCCTCAAAACTAAATCAAAAAAGAAAAGTTCATCATATCAAATGACTATTTACACTATGGGTATGCAAATGCATTCGTCCTTTTTCAACATTAAATTAGAATTATAATGTTTGATAAGATCATGAAATCATACTTGTTATTAGAAATTTACCGAAGATATGTTGTATATCCTGTGTTCATCTTCAGTGATAATTTGTTTTTTGTATACTTGCACGAATTCTATTTCTATGACTAATATATCTTAGAAGATTGAGATTTTCGATAAAAGTTCTAAAAATTTTATTAAGTAAATTAGAAAGTATTATCATAGTTCATCCATTCAATAATGAAGTATATAAAAACTAAAAGATGCTTGCAAACTTTTCATTAGAGTGACAGTAATTTTCATTACTAACTTTCTTCAGCATTCATTTCACATTGTTATTTCGGCATAAAATGCAGATGCTGCGCTAGACCGATGGCAACCTCACTCCATTACCGATTCGGTCAACTAGTAAAGCATGTCGTTGACCTGAGTTAGAACTGATGTATAAGATGCAAAACACGCAATATATATATGTATATGTGTTACAATACTAACCTAAGAAACAATATTTCTAAGTGGATATGTAGTTTTTCTATAGATACATGTACCCACGCACTAATTGTTTTCATCATACACAAATTAGCTTCGTTATACGCTAATTGTTTTGATCATACATTAATCGATTTGATCTGTGAAAACAAAATGGCTGAATATGAATGAAGAATTGTATGTATCATGTAGAAGCATCCAAGACGAGATAATAAAAAATCATATTTCGAAAAAAAAAAATTGATGATCAAAAGGATCTTTTCTTGCTTTGAATGCTTCTTCTATGGAAGATCGTATACATTATTCTTTCAGTGACATCTATATAAACTGATTTGTTTTAATCGTCTATATTGTTCATAAAATATCGATTGGATGTAATGGATGGATGGATTAATTGTTACTCTTTTCTCTCATATATAGTTGTTTTTTTTTATTCTCTTGATCAAATCATTAAATTTTTTCTTTCTCCTTCAAAAACTTACTGATTTTTTTTTCAAAATTAGATGTCTCAAATTTGTCCTCAAACATTATCTACAGCAACATCATCAACATCATCTCTTCCTCCATCATCTTCGAATATTTTAAATACAAGTATAACGAATACAATAACAAAAATATTTATTTACATTGATAGTAATCGAGATGATGCTAATGAGCCATTTTCAATTAAATTAAATAAACCATCGACGTCTATAACACTCGATGATTTTCTAGTTGCTATTCCACGATCATATACAAAAAATTATAAATATTTTTTTAAATCAGTTGATCCTGTTCTTGGTGTTATTCGTGAAGAAATAACTGATCATAAACAAATTCTTCCATCAGCTAATGGACGTATTGCTGCATGGCTTATGCCAGCTGCTTTATCACAAAATACAACTAATAATATAACAACTACAACAACAAATACAAGTTATATACATCGAAATCGTCAACAAGATGACTCTCTATTTACTACGGATACAAGTGCATCAGAAACAACTGATATAGCTAGTCAAATTGATCATGATGATGATCGGTAAAAAGAATTTCGAATACAAAAAAAGTAAAAAATTTATCATAATATGTTGTTATTTTTAGATTCTCATCTATTACAGAAACAACAAATACATCAGATATGAGTAGTAATTATCAACGAAGACGAAGACGACGAAGAAAACATCATCATCGTCGACAAAGAGTAATTAATATCTTTTCTTTTTTTTAAATGATTAAAAAAAATATAAGAAAAAAATTTTTTTTTTCAAAGGCTTCATCTATGAGTAGTATGACTGATTCAACTATTTCAATGGATGTTGTTACTGTTGTTTTAAGTTTGGGTATGTTAATTATTATAATTAATATTAATTATATTTCTTCTATATAGAACGTATTAAATATCTTGGTATGACTGTTGTTGGTGAATCTGATGGTGGAATTATTGTTGGATCAATTATGAAAGGGTATATATATTAAAACATCCAGTCAAATATTTAATCAGAAATTGATTGTTCACATTTAAATAAAAACAAAACTTTGACAGTGTATATGACACTTAAACAAAAAAAGAATACATAAGCTGATTTAGCACGAGTATATGAAAAACAACACTTTCAAGGAAGCTGCTTCTGCTGATAAATTATTTTGATTTTGAACTCTATGGTTAAGGTAGATTCTAGTGAGATATGAAATGTCTCAAAAAGATAAGTATTCTTAGATCTATCTTTCGGAATTATACTCATTTTGCTGAATTTTAGGCTATAGCATGCTATGTACTAAAAAATTGATTGACGGTATTTCATCCACAGATAGATTTAACTATGACTAGAATGTTTCCTTTGCAAGATACAAATTTTCAAAAAATTGATATCCTCATACCTTTTGAAAAATATGAGTGATTTTTAGATATACAATATCTTATCATTCATTGTTTTGGTACATGTCGTGCTACGCCGTAAAACTTCAGTAAACTGAGTATAACTCTGAAAGTAAGATCTAATGGCAACTCTCCTCTTAATATAATGTTTCACATGTCAATGGGGTATATCTTATATATAGAATCAAACTTAAAAACGATTTATCACTTGTAATGGTTTCTTCCTGATAAAATTATATAATCAAATACTTATTAGATCATCATACTTACTTTCAATATTAACTAAATATTAGTGTACTGCGTGATCGTGAATTTGATGAGCACGCAAATATATATAACGAGATAAATGCATTTCTTTATTTACTAGAAATTTTCAAATCTCTTCTGAATTTTTAGATTTACGGTTTTTTTTTTCTAATCAATAGAAAATTCAATTTAGTCGTCTATTGAGAATTTTTTTAATATTTAAAATTAAAAGTTATTCTATTGTTATTTTAGAGGTGCTGTTGATGCTGATGGTCGTATTCAACCAGGTGATATGATTTTACAAATGAATGATATTAGTTTTGAACATATATCAA